GTTCTGATGAAGGTGACTAGTTGTTCTTCTTTGACTAGGATAAATATGTGAATACATATTCTAGTCAAGACAGAATAGAGTCAATCTGAAGAATGTCTGAGACAGAACCAGTCTAGAACCCTCTCAGAACAACTCTACTCTAGAATGTATATAGACCCAGCCTACCAGATTTTGTCTGAGAGTTCCTCAAAGTCTTTAGTAAAGAGAAATTCAACCAGCTTCCTGAACACTGTCTCTAGGACTATACAATTGAATTGACTAAGAGTTTCCAACCTAAGGATTATAAGGTCTACCTACTCAACAGAGACAAGTAGGAGGTGTTTGACAAGTTCCTTTGGGAAAATCTTTAGAATGGCCAGATCCAACCCTTAAAGTCCTTTATAGTCTCCTCTTTCTTCTTTGTCAAAAAGAAAGATGGGAAGCTTTGTCTAGTCTAGAATTATTATTGTCTTAATAAGGGTACTGTCAAAAACAAGTACCTACTCCCCCTGATTCAGGAGCTCATTAATAAGACACATACATCTAGGGTTTTCACTAAGTTGAATGTTTAATAGGGATATAATAATATTTGGATCTAAGACAGAGATGAGTAGAAGACTGTGTTCTGAACTAATTACAGATTGTACAAACTGACTATAATGTTCTTCAGACTAACTAACTTGTCTGTAACATTCTAGTCATTCATGAATCACATCCTTACAGATCTGATTAACTTAAGGTATGTTAGTGTGTATCTGAATAACATTCTGATCTTCACTCAGACAGTTGAGTACTATTACTGACTAATCTGAGTGGTTCTACAACAGCTCTAAGATAATAAACTGTTCCTCTAAGAAGTAAAGTACTCCTTTATACAGGAGTCAGTAGATTATCTGAGCTTTGTAATTGGTGGAGGAGAGGTCTGTATAGATCCAGTAAAGGTAACTGTAGTTTGGAACTGGTTACAACCTCAGAACCTGAAACAGGTCTAAGCATTCTTTAGGTTTGCAAACTACTACTAATACTTTATTCAAGACTTTAGTACTATTGCCTAACCCCTTCATGATCTTACTAGTAAAGATGTTCCTTAGTAATAGGATGATCAGCAGCAGTCTGTGTTTGAGTCCCTCAAGTAGGCTATTACTAGTAAGCTTATATTAGTAGTTCTAACAGTTGTAGACAAGTTCTGAGTTAAAGCTAACTCTTCTGACTTTGTGAATAGAGTAGTACTGTCCTAGTTTATTGACAGAAAGTAGTGTCTGATAGTGTTCCAATTAGAATCCCTCTCTGTAATAGAACAGAACTACCTTATCTATGACAAGGAACTCTTCACAATTGTCTGTTCTCTAGAAGAGTAGTATTAATATCTCCTTAGTGTAGTACAGAAGTTTAAGATCTAGAGTAATCACCTTAATCTCTAGTACTTCCAGGCACCTCAGAAGCTCAACTACTGTTAGGCCTACTAGATGTTAGAACTGTAGGACTATAACTTTATACTGACCCACAAACCTGGAACACAAATAACAAAAGCTGATTTACTCTTAAGACAAGTAGGTTATGAAAGGGGGGAGAATAATAACAAAAATCTTGTTCTCCTAGACAATTCCTGTTTTGTGTTCAAGACAATCCAAGAGATCCAACTCAAATCCAAGAATGTTGACTTTGTTACCTGTATACAGTAAGCTCTGAGACACACACAGGACTAGGTTGTAGTAAAGTAACTAGAGAAGTAGGCTAAGGATTGGGAGGAGGATGAGGATAGACAGGTTTACTAGGAAGGCTGACTGTACATTCTAAAGGATCAGAAACTGTAGGAGAACATTGTCTGAGCTCATTACAACAATCTGACTGTAGGACATCCAGGCTGACACAAAATGTAGGAACTCATTACTCAGAACTACTAGTGGCCCAGAATGTAAAGGGAAATCCTGAAGTACATAACTAGTTGTAATACATGCTAACAGACTAAAGCCTACTGGACAAGAGTTTGGGCTCCCCTACATCTGTATCAGATCCTGGATCACTCTTAGGAAGAAGTCTTAGTAGACCTGATTAGTGAGCTATCTAAGTCTTAGGGTTACAACACTATCTGTGTAATTGTTAACTGATTCTCTAAGCAAGTCTATATGGTTCCAACCTAAACAGAACTCACTTTTGAAGGTATAGTACACATTTATCAGGATTATGTCTTCTAGTTGTATAGACTCTCTCAGAAGCTTATTCATGATTGTGGACTACAATTTGAGTCAAAATTCATACAGGACTTGTATGTACTCCTCAGAATTCAAGGGAACCCTTCTACTACCTATTACCTACAGACTGACAGTCAAACTGAGTAAGTCAATCAGGAGATTAAGCTCTACCTCTGAATGTTTATCAATCATTAACAATCAGATTAGTCTGAATAGCTAGCTCTGGCAGAATTTGTATACAATAACTAGCAACACTCTACAACAGGACAGTCCCTATTCTTCCTCAATCATGAGAGACATCTGTACTAGGGGACAGTTCTAAACTAGAACAGTAGTTCTGAATCTGTAACAGACTTTACAGAATGGATACACAGAACCAGGGAGGACACACAAGCTCTTTTAGAAAAGGTAGTACAGGTTATAAAGTAGAACTATGATTGGAAGAGGTCTGCAGCCAAGGATTACTAGCCTAGTAACAAAGTTATGCTGGAAGCCACTAACCTGACTATAGATTGCCTAATAAAGAAGTTGGACAACAAGTGCTTCAGACCCTTTGTTATTGAAAAGAAGGTTAGCACCTCTGCCTACAAACTCCAACTTCTAGCAACATGGAAGCACATACACTCAGTGTTCAACAAGGTTCTACTGTCTTAGTACTACAATCCAGGTTTTCCTTCACAACAAAGACCCCCACCACCTCTACCAGAACTCATTAGTTCCAAACTGGAATACAAAGTAGAGTATGTAGTAGATACTAAGCTAGTGTGTAGAAAGCTCAAGTTCCTTATCTACTAGAAGGGATACCCAGTTGAAGAACACACTTGGGAACCTGCTGAGAATCTCACCCATACTACTAAGACAATCTGAGACTTCTATCAACTTCATCTGGGTGCTCTGTATTAACTCTGAGTGACAGTGTAGAGGGGACCCAAAGGCTCAGCAAGGGGACCCAGGCTACAACTATCCTACACAACAGAAATGTGGAACACAAGCACCAGAACATAGTCAGAACTCACAGAACAGGCAGAGAGAGAGAGAGTGAGACAAGAGTAGAGTATATAGAGTAAGCCTAAGAGTACAGGACTACCTGGAGTAGACAAGATCAAGACTACAGGACCAGTCTGATCTTGTACACCTATATATACTAAACTACACAAGAGTACTCAGGGAGTATGAGCCACTAAGAATGATAAGTCACAAAGAATGAAAGAAAGGAATGTCAAAGATAAAGGTACAAAGAATGAAGGGATAGACAAAGGGTAAGAGACTATAGAATGAACAGAGAATGAAGGAGTAGTCAAAGGAATGGAATAATGAAGTAAGGAAGGGTAGTAGTAAGAGTCAGCATACATATAGTCTATAGACAGTGTCTCTGAGGGACAGAAGTCCTGAGTTCTAGTACAGAAGAGTGTAGAACCCTTGGAACTGAAGGTAAGAGAGTAGAGAATTGTAACATCACCCCCCCTCTAAAACTAATCATTCTGATTGGTGAACATTGGGCTTGGTTAGCAGCTCAGATATAGGTCAGAACAGTAGGGTTTGGAAATCTGTGAGGAACACTGAGAAGTAACTGCTGGTTTGTCTCCTACTCATAAGATGTGCTCAGAGCTTCTGTAGGACTATTAAGTGACTAGTCAGTGTTGAGATAAAATGAGTAACTAATTTGTACTTATGTGCAATCATGTTGACAAAGGCCATCAGTACTATGAATGGACAGTGGACTTTCCACCTCTTGTATCAGAATTGACTTGTCTACTATCTGCCTGTCAATATGTCCTTCTGTTGCTATTTTGTTTTTGTTCTTTAACACTCCTGTGCCTTGTACTAGTGCTTCTTCATTCTCTGGTGCAGTTTGTTTGTCAAATCCAGCTTGCAACTGGTTGTATAGTGTATCTTCCAGAAATTCAGTCCAAAAACCCTACTCCTTAAAACAAAGTTTCAACTCAACTGAAGAGCCTAGTAAAAGGCATAATAATAAACAGGAAAGCTATTTTCATATGCTCTATAGAGCTAGCTTCAAACAATCCCTGTAACTGTGGCAGATAGTGTTTTTTTGCCAAGTTCAGGGACTCATAACTGGATAATGTTCAATACATTTAAAAAAAAAATGGACACACTCCTTGAATTGACAATTACAGTAAAGACTCACAGAATTCCATTGATAAGAAGGCTTATGAGTAAGTCAAGTATGTTTGCAGCTTGGTTATGCCCTTTCTGAGGCACAACAAACTTGATTACACTCAAAGTCGTTACTATTGAACTAAATAGAATTCGATGCCAGGTCAAATATGCTTTGAAGATCATGACCAACAGGAGCATGGATAATTAATTAATTACGTGAGATCTTAGCTGAGATATGAAAGAAACATCTTACATGGTTTCTGAGGACTGCTACTATTTTCTTTTTCACCCCCCTCAGTACTGCAACATTCCTCGTTTTTCCTGGGATCATCATTATCGTACTGGCTTGACATTGTAAGGATTTTGTACTAGGTGGAAAGGGAGAAAAGTGGGTTCCACCTCACAGTCTGTATCGTGCACTGCTGTATAAAGTCCTTGCTACCACAGGAATGCACAGTATTAAGGCCTGTGTCCTGTGTGTGCATCGTTCCATGATGATACAGAGCAATCCTGTCCGTGTACCAGTGCAGACAATACAATATATTATGATTGATGTAACTGATATTCTACGTCTAAATCTTCTTACCTTGATTGCAATGCAGTGCAATGCATTATGGATACTGTTAGAACTCGAAGCAAATGGCTTCCATCAAACCAATCAGCCTATGCACAGCTGTTAATTCACATTGTAAATACACTGCCTACAACATGCATAAAGCTCATGAAAATTCGTTAATGATAAGACGATAAGTGAAATAGTGATAGGTATCACAAGCATGCGGAGATTGCAAGTGAAAGCACGAAAAGCCCTTGAAGCAAAGCAGAACACATCCAACACCAACAACTCCCCGGAATGTGAACGAGTAAAAGATACAGAATACACCACTCAAAATATGACCTTAAATTTACTCAGGAAACCGTAAAACTACTCGACGTGCCCACGAACGACGTAATCCCTCCACCGAAAAGTGATTTGGCGTCGCCGAAATAGCGAAGGCGGTACGTTCCGGCTGTGTCGATAACGGAGAAAGGAAAACATGGCAAATTTACTTCCGTCAGTATTGAATGTTTCAGAGAGAAGCGAAGAAGCGGAAAGGGAAAGGGAAAGGGAAAGGGAAAGGGTGAAAAGGGAAAGGGAAAGGGTGAAAAGCAACAGAAGACGTACAAGGCGTCCCAGATTCGATTGTCCTGTGTTGAATAACAAATATCTCATCAGTATCTCGCATTCGAACGCATTTGAAAATGAGAATGGAACATACCAAGAAATCGTCACAGTACTCGTCCCGATTATCTATACGTATTATTCGATTCGTTTATCAGTTAGTCCATAACAACCAGCTTTAAAGAATTCCAGAAACTGGAACAAGGAAGTAACCACATACCGTATCGTTCCTGATCCATTGATACGTAGTCGAAGGATGCGAATCGCTCCTCACTGCCGTCCACGCTCCATTTCCGTTCTGCTGATCAACGCTGAGGAAAGTACCTTCCAAGCGCAGGTTGTTCTATATCATATTCACAGTATCAGCACCTTTGTTTACTCATTCACGTTAATGTCAATAAATGGCAATAGTCATAGGAAGATCGGGTATTGAAGACGTAAAAACGAGAGGAAAGGGAAACGAGGAAAACGCACTCTAGGATTTGCACCGACGAACCACGCTTGTACAGTCTCTCCCGCAGAGTACGGTGAGCTCGTCCTTACATCACTCAACACGTCACCGAAACTCTTGAATATAGGTGGGTTGTCTTGTATTACGGGCGTCTACTCGTCCAACACAAGAGCCATGCCGCGAAGTTGAAACGGTTTCCCAGTCGAGTCGCATATAACGCATACCAAATCGGAATACAAAGCGATAATAATAATATACCTTCATGAGCAACGCCCCTTTGAAAATGAGACAAGGGAGGAAGACGAACCTGGAGAGAAATAGCCTTCGAGGTCTGCTCTGCAGGCGGTGCATCAGAGGCTGGTGTCCCACTAGCACTAGGGGAAAGGAACGGTACAAGGCTCGTATACTTATCGATGTATGCCTCCAACGTAACTATCCATCGCGCGTGCGCAAACATTAATCGACAAAGCACGGGAAAAGAACAGACAACAGAGACATACAAGGTCCATAGAGCGTCGACGCCCCTTCATACCTCTGAACTCCGTACTCTTCCCTCGTCGCGACATAATGTCCATACGTATTCGCAGGACCGGCGATCACAACATATGCATCGTCGCCTATCACGCCTTGGGATATAAGCTCCGCACGAACAGCCTCTCTAGATTCGTTCATTGGCAGAGTTACCGACGCATATAGTCAATTTTGGGTGTCAAGATAAGGAATGAGGAAGACTGACCGAATCCTCCGCCCAGACATCGTAGTCAACTCGCCAGGCATAACGAGCATTACAAAGTTCCCGACACGCAGCATCTGAATATCCACTGTCGATGGACTCCATTCATATGGGAAATGTGCGAATCCCTACACAGCGCCAAGTTCAACATGTTAGTCATTAATCCTTCACTTCGAACAAATGGTACAAGAAGATGCATACGGTGTTGAGTAAGATAGGTTTCGGGTCTTGACAGGCCTTCTGTTCGTCGTTTGGCTCTGGTGTTACAGCACCTGTCATCACAAAGAAGTACAAACGATCGTTTGCAACGCCACACCGAAGATGACAAATAAGATGCCGCACCCTTCACGATCTCCCAAAATGGATTCCTAATTTCCCAAACGTCAGTACTCAATCAAGGTATAGACAACTAAGTGGAGAAGAAACACACTGAGGCTGAGACGTGTTGTCACCTTGAATGAAATCAAATGCTCCTGGCCCATCTCTGAACAGTCCGAATTATTTCCGTAAGTTATCTGTCGAAACTCCGTGTGAAATAGAATATGGAAGAGAACACACGTCGTTCCACCAGCAAAGCTGAATCCTATTAATGGTGAAAATGAGATAATTTTACATTGTGAAAGCTAGTAAGGACGTACCGAGTGCAGGCGGGCATGTCTGCACAGTCGTCCCATTCGGAAGCGTAAACGAATGGAATGACATGTTCAGATACGTGTGTACACTCTTCACAGGACCAGAAATCTGTGTCCGATTCTGAGCGTTCATAAGCGTCTGCGCAGCCTGAAACTGTAAGTCTCCAATAATCCGATTCGACTCAAAGTCCGAGATGCGGAATCCGGGTCCGCTGAAAGTTAAAAACTCAGTTTGACACAGCTGCAAATCTATGAAAGTGATACCTACCGTCCATGACAATCTTCCGTTTTGTTTCCGCACGTTGAATGTTCGAATTCACACGGCTGGCCATCCCAAGGTTCTCCTGGGCTCTCACAGAAGGCACCGTCCGTGTTTGGACTTGTATCTCCAACGTTTGCTGTCTCCGGTTCAATATACAGAATTTAGTGGATACAAGGCCAAACGCACCTTGCACGAATCCAGCCACGAACGTCGTGTTCCCCGGCATTGCATTAGGTTCGACCATATCTATGTCCCAATCCAGTCAACAACCCAAAAAAATCAAATAATATTCCAATCGAAATATGTACTTACCCTCATATAAAAACGCTGCCATGCCTTTATTATCTCCGCTAACAAGCGTATTATTCTCATAAAGACTTGTCCCATGCACCGCAAAGAAGCTCAAGAATCCTCTTGCATTTCCCTGCTCATCATCAAACCTAACAAGCGTAAAGTCCTTATCCTGGTCAAACTGATACCGGGCTCTCTCATCAGCAGGGTTCGCTAGATAAGCAGCCGGCGAACGGTTGATATTCCCATTAACAATGGTAGTATTTCCCACTGAAAGAGAACCAGGAGCAAGGTTTGCATGTGCTCGTTGAGCTGCGAGGACAGTGCCTTGGATGATTGCCTGTGCAGAAGCGTTGACGTAACCTAATGCTGTGATTTGCGGGAGGAGATCCTCAAGGTACCCGCCAACACCGGAGTGTTGGTGCGTTCCGACAAAGGCTATATTTTCGTTTGTGTATACACCGGGGAACTGAGAGGTCAGTTCAGAAACTATGGTTCGTCTGACACCGGTGTCACCCATTGCGATGTCTTGATGAAACAGAATATATGTCAATTGCGCTATCGAAAAGATTTAGTTGAGAATCAGACGCACCGGCGTTGATGAAGATAACACGCGAAGACGGGTCATTCGCATCTGCGATCACGAATGCACGACTGCGTTGGCGCATATGCAGACCCCTGTCTGTTTGTGCGAGATTTGCGTACCCCTATACATTTTTCAGAAAACTATAAAGTCAATAGGAGTTCCTTGCACACCATCATGTTCGTTTCGACAACTGGCCTGATGATTGGTTAGCATTTGAAGAAGCAATGATACAAATGCGAAGGTGCATAAACTTAATAAAGTGGACTATGACCATGCCACATAGAAGTCGTTAATATGCATTGAGCCAATTTAGCGACTTCAGACCACATGGCACTCGACAGCGAATCCATTCTTCTCGCGACACACCTCTTCACACGTCCAAATCGATAACGAGCCCACAACTAATACAGGCAACTTACCCAGTGATATCACCAATACCTAAACCTAAGAGATATTGTGCCTGTGCAGTCTGTACTCCTATCCGTGCAACATTCGGGAACACGGGACCAGACGCGAGAAAGAACGCTCCGCACACGAATGCGCGCCGAGCAAGCTCGTAGAGCGCCATTGCGAAAAGGAGAGAGAAAAGGACAAGGAGGGGCGCAGGTGGCATGAGACAAGGAAGGACGATGGAAGTTTTATATGAGGTGAAGCGAGAGTGCGAGCCATATGCGTAGTGAGATGGAAGACGTTGCAGGAAGGACAGCTGAGGAGTAACAGTGCTGACATCACTTGACCGCGGATCAATTCCCATCAATAAAACATTCGCCGGAGTCGCCGTGCCGTAAATAAAAGGCAATGTGCCATATGATCTCTATTTTTGGCACCAGCTGGTCAGCATGTGTTTCTTCTGCCAGCTATTTCTGCCGCTGAAGGGTTTGCCGACTGACTCTTATTCTCATACATCGTCATCGAATTTCGCTTCACCCACTCACAGCATGCTACGAATTATCAGTAATATCACACCCAGCTTCTCCCGTGCGGATCGTCCAAAGCCCTGGTAAATCACTTGTGAAGAGGTGGAGTCCAAACTAATCTTCCTCTGTATCTAAAAGGCGTGAATACAATTCATTTTGATACGCATTGCGGAGCCAATTTTATTGTTAGAGGTCTTCAATAAGCTCAGTCGAAACCCTGCACTCTTACAACCGACCTTTGTCCAATGTGTCACTGTCAGAACTCGGAAGCGGATGTCTCCAGACTGCAGCAGGAAATTTCTACAGCTAGACTCATTTTAGAGTCCATACAGAAGTGGTGAAATCCATGAGCCACTCATTCTCTAAGTCTTGTACCACTTCCGTGGATAGCATCAGATTCCAGAGGTACTACAGATAGGATACTGGCCTGTATTTTTCAACCTAACACATATTCGGTGCATGACACTACTTTGATATTTTGATTCTGTTAGAAGGTATATTTCTATGCAAGCCTCCGAAGTTGAATTCTTTATCAGTTCAGACTTGTGCCACAATGCTCTCATATTCATTGTTTCAAGCAAGTGGCGTGAGAATCCAGATGCTTCGTTCTTCCAGAATTGGGAATTCATCCCATAGGTGAAGCCGAACATCACCGAGGACTTTGTTGAAACTTGATGTGCCACTGCTTGCCGTACACCATCAACTCGAAGGAAAATAGTTTTCAATGGGGACGGGATGTTCAACTTCGGTATAGTAAATTGATGATAGATGAGGTCGTCATTGATTGCCATATGGTCTTTTGCTCTGTGACTAGTACTGTCCTCGGCCCAATCTTTGCACACTTGTTTCTCGATGTAAATAACTGCTGTAATTCGTTGACTATTCTCGGGCCACACGTCGATCCTGTTACACTACTTCCTAGATGATAAAATTGCGGTAAGTAAAATAATTGCCACTCTCCAATAATTGCTGTAGTACCTGTCTGTTTGAGGCATTTCTCAGTCTTCGTCCCAGTCACTAGGTATGTCTCAAGTGTTTTTACAATGTCATGATAGCATGACTTTGACTGACACCAGTTTGGCTGCTCCTGCAGTGACTTACTTAAGCTATCTGACTCAATTCTATAATCCAATCAAGTCTAGACATGTCTGTAGTGAGTGTTTGTGCAATACTGTTACTATTGCCTTCTCCAACCATCAAGGCCATCTACTCGAGAAGCTCTTCGTGTCATACCATCCCTCAATTATCCGTTCTGCCTCACAGCTACTCCTGGCTGCTTTACACTGGTGCTATTTTGGAGGACACACAATGTTTGAAAGAAGAATGAGGCCTTTCCTTTGGCAACAGATGTATGCTCTGTCATCTTGCAATCTCTCTAGAGCTTGTTTAGTATTAGAAAGGCACTGGAAGCACAGTATACTCATGCCAATATACATTTGAACCATCATTAGCTGATAGTTATCAATGTGATTGTAGCACTAGGACTAGTGTCACTCTGCTTTGTATTTGTAAAACCTTAAGAGCTGAATATTATACAATAAATTTCTGTCTGTCCTTTTGATTTAGCCTCTCATCTGGTACTGTATTTTATGCTCCTTTGTCTCTTTGTTTATTGTTTCCTATTTTGTACCTTTTAGACATGTGTATCAGCTTACAGTTATTAGTCTTGACCATGTCTTATATTGTAAATGCATGTCAGCATATTTCTGACTGTATTAAGACATTAGGAAGATAAATACTCAAGAAACACATGTTTTATACTTTACTATTGAAATTACATCTTACTTACTATTTTACTTCACATTTTGATAAAATGACCAATGTTCTATACACACTACATATTAATATTGTGTATGTAATACTATATTTTCATTTCTGATTTTACTAAAGTATACTTTACTTAAGTACTTACTTATATATTTTTCATAACCTTAGTTTATTCTCTTACACTTTATTAATTAACAAATAAAGTACTGTTGTTTCTGAAAGGGGTCTGTCCTACATATACTAATAAATAGGTAAAAAAATAAAAGAAAACAATCATGAATATTTGATAAATAAACTATTTAGTATTATAATAAATATATTAATGTTATCTATCTATAAAGTAAATTATTGTTATTTTGTACTTAAACAACTGAGTTGATTAATAGAGAATGTTATATCTAGTAATAGAATATCTTACAGTAAATTTCTATTTATACTACTCTTACTATGTTGTTATAAGCCACTTTTACACCTGTTGATGAATAATTCTGAAGTCTCAGTGTTTTTTCTCACAATACTGTCTTCAAACTTTGCTAGTACCTTCTTCCTGAAATTCTAAGATTAATAGAAGAATTAGCTAGTATAAAACAAATTGTTTGCCTAAATATTACTCATTATTGTCTGCTTGTATTATTACCATTTCTATCTAATTCTAATTATCTCTTACAAATGATTATTTCAACTGTTTACTCATGGTCTGAATAGGTACAGGTAGGTGTATATTCCTACTAGGTGTTTGTAATGTTCACTAGTGTGACCCTTCACTATGTTGTTCCTGTTCTCAATCTCTCTGCCTCATCTCTTCCAGCTTTTTATCTTCCAATTTCCTTACCTCACTTGAATTTAGTGCAGATGTGAAGCCATGCAGAATTTTCTGATGGGCAGCTGGTTTATTAATGTTTCCATTCCAGTCTACATCAATAGAAATCTTCTTGATGGTTGTTCTAGACCTTGCTCTTACCTGATTAACTAGCTTTCCAGCCCCACTTGATCCTTCTGGTCTCTTCATTTCTAAATAGCACAATGTGTTACCTTTTGAGTACTATGTCATAAATATAAGTGATTCACTCACTAACAACATATTGTGTAAGATTGCCGTTTTGGTCCTTCTTTTCCTTGACTTCTACTGTACAACCGCAGTTTTCAATAGCTATAACATATTATTGTTGATTAATGTTATAAAGAAACAGAGTTGTAAAAATTACACACCGCTTTTTGTACCTGTATCTCTCATGACTTCATCGAGTTGTTGCCTGCCAGACATCTTTGATACAGACTATACAGTAAGTTCTTGTGGTCTGTCCCAGGTCAAGCAGATTAGCACGCCTTTTATACTCTAACAGCACAACACTGAAACGTGACTCTGGGCTTCATTGGCTAGGATTACTATGGGTCACGTACAGTCATTTTGTGATATCAAACTTGAAACTAACCCTGAAGTTTTGCAGAATTGCACGATTGGCCAGTCCAATAATATTGGCCACTAGCATACAATTGTAAACTCCATTACACTAGATTATAATCAATAAAGGCTTGATACGTTATGTACCATCTGGAAACTCGATGCCGAATTTTGTCTTTCTTTGATAGCAAATCAACGACTAAACCCTCTGGATTAGAGCAATACATGATCGCTGCCGAGAGGTTTTACTTTACCTTCGCTTTCTGTTTAATTTTAGCAACAATTTGTTTGCTGTATCGAGTGCAGTTCACAGTTCTTGGCATGGCAGAACCAGCAGAAAGATCACGGTTATAATACATAATCGAAACAGTTTGCAAAACTTGTTCTTATAGTGTAAGTAATGTCGAGATTCTGTATCTGGGAATTATATCCACATTTTACATCACACAATGATATGCCTTCTGCACCCGGGAATTCATTGTGCAATTCTATTAGTAATATATTTTAATATCTATTTGAATTTTAACTTTTAGCAAGGTACTTAACTTTGAGAAATTGAAAGCCCGTCTCATGTATATGAAAGCTTCGAACTTGTAAGTCATTGTTAACGTAGATTAATGCTGCTTAATAAATTGTCTTCTCACGTCATGTATGTATCTGCTAGACAGATCAAAGATCATTGCAATACTCATGTGAAACGATTTGTGCCTTAGATTTTGCATTCCACAAATGGTAGATTAACAATTCGCCTGAGCAATGTGACGACAGTACCAAAACACCAATCATTATGGACAAGTCTCTGCATCGTACTTCACTATGTACTAATTATTCTCATGTCTAGGTTGATCTAGTCGGATAACGGGCCTTTTTCTGGTCGAGTCTGCTCGGAGGACGAAAAATTGTTGCGCCACAGGTTGGTATTAGGCTTCCTTTCTCGCTGGAGCACAAGTATCTATTCCTTGCGCGACGCAACTTTGCTTCTGCTTGCTAGTGCCGTCTATTTTTATGCAAATCGTAAAGGTGGATACTTTATTCGTCTAGAACCAGTGCTGAAATGCTGCCATAGGAAGCTTAACAGCAAAAGGGTCATGTTTCATTAGCTAAGAGGCGAAAAGGCGTGTGAGTTGAGGTCCCACATACTTGCCGAGTTATATTCTGTTTGCTTCAATCAAACAAAATGCATCAATCCGTTCGTCCGAACGTGGAAGTATTGTCTCACGGATAAGAACAATACTACTGACACTTTAAACTTTATTCTCTTCCTCTCATATGGTTATCCCACTGGTTGCTGCAGACCAACACCCTAAAGAACAACTATATCCTAACAGTTACATAGCTATTCTTGTAATAAAAGTTGATGATAGACAAGGTTTTGTTATTGATTTCTGTACAGTTAATTAGTACTAGTACTATTTTGAAGAGCTTACATCTGAAGAAAAACCAGATCTGGCTTCTGGCTGGTATAGAATTTTAGCACCAGCACCTTTAGTTACTCTGCTTCAAACTTGAGAGGTTGTAGGTACTGGTAACAG